GTGTTTATGATACCCACTTGAAGGATCACTTTAGAATTGTATCTACAAACCACATTGAATCTGTTAAAAACTAATTAAAGATTAAAATAAAAGTTAATGTGATATATTACACTACTGAAGATGAAATAATTTTACCTATTACTACTATCACCACCATCACCACGATTAACATCACTATACCTGCTTGTTTATTACAATAATAAAGTAGCACCAACATTATAATAATGAAAAATATATTTCTCCCTGGATTTGGTCTGTTATAATATCCCAAATTACCAACAATTTAAAATATTCTATATATTTATTTTGGAAAATGGTCGAAACAGTTGTATTAAAATAATTTAAAAATAAAATTAAAAAGTACCTACTATGTGATTGCACTTTGCTAGGATCTACTAATGAAGAAAGCAGACAGAATTTTCAGCCTCGAAGAGCTTAAATTCTGATGGAACTTCTGATGAAAACAAACATACGAATTGCAAAAGCAAGAAGTAAATTCCATTAATACTGTACAAATTCTGTTCTGGACATCAGACAAGAAACAGGAACCTAGTATATGGGCCCGTAAAGAGAACTGCATCAGAGAAGCAGGACTCTGAGCTAAGAATCTGAATATAAAAACACTGATATTTCTAGGGCTATGACCAAAAGGGGGGGGGAGGGGGAGGGAGGGAGGGAGAGAGAGAAATGAGGTAAAATTGAAAACAGCTCAGAATTGCTGAAACACACATCAGTAAAGTAAATGGAGAGGTAAGCTGTGAGAAATTTTGAAGAGCCTTGAAAGCCATATTTATTTTCTTTATCCAGAAGGAAATAGGGGCTATCAAAGGGTTTAAATGAGAGAGTGATGAGATGAGATTTGATTTTGGCAACATTACGGTTTCTGTTGTGTGGTTAATGGTGGCCAAAGAGACCGGACAGGAGGCAACAGCAGTAGTCCAGCATCACAAAGGGATGGAGTAGTCACAGCAAGAAGCGAATTCAGGAGAGATCTCCTGGAGAGATACAGGGAAGCAGGGACTCCCCATCTCTGCAATCTCCTCCTGCAGTCACTGCTCCGTAGTGTCTATTATGACGTGAAAACAGATTCCTCAGCCCTTTATCTCTCCTTGTTTTTAAGATAAAAAAGTTTCACAAGAAAAAACACATCAGAAGAATATATAAAGTTTTATCAGTTAACTGAGGATGTCTTAGTGGAGGTTCTTTCCTACTCATGCTTGTTTAACTTTTTCAGCTCCACCATGTTCTGCAAGGATCAGAGTAAGAAAGTACCAGAAGATAAATAACCAGTGTAAGAAAAGGAAATGGGTTCCTTTGAAGCAAAGGCTGAGGCGCCAGCTCTTCAGCCATCTACAACAGTGGTTGTTAAATATGGCTCTAGCATACAATCATCCAAGGAATGTAAAATAATTTACCCACACTCAGCCCACCCTACTGCATCCTACTTCTCAAATTGTGCAATACGGTTGTTCTCTGAATATTTTATGACTTTTTTTATTCACTATAAAAGTTTGAAACTGAACTCTGATTTTGTGTTTCTAAATCTTAGGAAATTGCCTGAAATGCTAGTGATGTAATACATATTTAATTTCCATTGCAGCTGCAATTGACATGTGTTGGACATATTATGGGAGAAACATGATTAGTACCTTGGGGTCCTTATGATATAAATAGCCATGGATAATGACTCTTATAAGACATTTTAAAAGTACACTGTTCATATAATGCAGTATGAGCATACAAGCACACAAATCAAAAACACCCACAACTGAAAAACATTTTTTCACAAAATACCTTAACCATATGTAACATACTTTGGTATTTTCTGTTTTTTTGCTCACGTTTATAAAATAAAAAAGCAGCAATGGTTGTAACTCTTCACATTAATTTCAAGACCAACCAAACAGAGTTACATAATACTTTGAAAAAGCCTTAGGTAGTGGCTTTAATTCTACTTCTGAACACTCATAGCAACACACCATTCAGGTGACTTTATTCAGCAAAAGTACCAACGTTTAAGAGTTTTTTAAAAATTCCAATTATCACAAAGACAATTCACCTCAATTTTGAAAAAGACATTGGGTTTATCTTATAACTGAAAGGGAACTAAACCACCCATGGTTAGAGATTTAACTCATTAAGACCCAATGATGTACACTCAATGAGATAATTTCCTTAATGTTCTCTGTTAGCATTAGTTAGGGAAAAGTCTCAAAGTGAAAGATGTTTTCCCAGCAATGTAGCGACAATATTAAAAATGAGAAAATATGAGAACACATTTAGGTGAATACAATTTACTGAGCTATCCTCACTGTCATATTAAATAAAAATATTTTTATTTTAGAAAAGATAGAATAAGATAGTAAGTTTTAAATGAAGGAGATCGTAATATAACACACCCAAGTACAGAAAGAAAACGTACTTCTGTTTTTATTATGCTATCTATGTAACCAACATGTAAGCAGTAAGTCCTAAGCATGCTTTCTTTACTACTAAGTTAAGTAATTTATGGATCTCATATGTCAAATATCAAAGGTGATACATACCTGTGGGAGAGGCCTTTGCCTCCTCCAACTACATCTGTTACCCTCTGGAATTCTAGAAGTTAATTCCATCCTTCTTTTTCTGCAGTTCTAGAAGTTAACTGAGAATACGTTCACACAACCAAAGGCTATTTTCTCCAGCATTCTTTCTGCTAAGGTACGTCAATGAGACAGTCTCCTCATAGCCAATGAGGTAAAAGCAGACATGATCTGTGCTACTTATGTATCATAAACTTAAGAAGAAAGGAGAAACCTTCCCTTGACCCCACTCCTATAGGCAGAAATAGTGACCACGACAGACCAAAAATGAAAGGCAGGTATTGAAGATGGTTTGTACTGCTCCTATTGCTACATGAGAGAGAATTAGATGCATACACTGTTTCAGGTTCTATTTTTTGTAAAAGGTCCAAATCCATACCTAATAAAAAAACAAGTCCTATTCTGCAACTTATCCCTCCAAACGCAGCAAGAAAGGATAGATAAAATGAGTGAAAAGCGAAGATTACTTACATTATAGAAGAAAAGTTAATGAACAAAAACATGGAAGGATGTGAGGCTATTCAAGGAACATTTGGTAATAGGTCATAAATTCCCAAATCAACAATCAAAATTGTCAAATATTTCCTAGATACTTCTTTTCTACAGACTGAAGCTTTTCTTTTGTTGACAAGAAAAAACTTTTTTGTATATATTTCACACAAAATTCTGAAGTAGAAACACATTCTTCATATCACCACACCCAAATGTACAGCAATATAAATATGATAGGGATCTGCATTTAAATGTTGGACTCATATCTCTACAGAGTCAAATGAAGACTACTGTATTGTGAATTGATATAGCATTATAAAATAACTTACATAAAGAGACTTAATGGAATGAAGTAAAAGAAAACAGCTTAAACATTACTGATTCTTTCAAATGGAAGGTATCTCTGATGGCTGGAATCAGAGGGATAAATCATTTAAGTATTCCAATAATTTCTTTCTTACAGAGTTAATTTGGAGATACTTAAGTATACAGCTTATCTGTTCTTTTTTTAATAGAGTGTTTCCTCATACATAAAGTTCATAGAGATATATGCAACTGTATTAGCATAAGTTATTCCAACAATGGAAAGTCTTCTTTTAAGCACATAACATCACTACTATTTCCAAGCTAATGGCTGACTAAGTTTTTCATATGTGTTTCTTAAGGACAACAGGATTTTATTGATCAAACACTAAATACATTAGTAGAAATATATTTTATAGATACTTGTCCTATTTAATTACATTAATTTATTAATAAAAACATTGGGATAAGTCAGTTGTAGCACCTCTAAAAAAGGAAAATAGGGGAAATATCACACCTTTTCTCCCACTTACTCTTGATAAAAAATTACTATTGTTATATTCTTGATATAACAATTACTATTGTAATTAAATAACAGAAACAGTAATGACAACTGCATTGACAAGTTTGTGAAAGGAAGGAGGTTCAATATATGTAGGAGCTTGGAGACAGTTCAAATTTATTTAGTTTTCATCTAAAGGGAGTGACAAGATGTTCTTAGGCTAGGTATTAATTATCTAATAAGATAATACATAGCATTCTGATAAGAAAAGTTTAGCAGGCATAGAAGCAATAATGATGATAAAAATAAATGTAACCTAGTGTACGACCAATTAAAGGGACAGTAAATGCTCTCATCTCTATGTAGATTTATCATTTAAGAATTTGTATTCAAAATATGAATTATAGAAGAGATACACAAGCTAAAAGACAAGTTACACTTAAAATGGGTTAACATGGCTTAATGGTGTAACTGTCCATAGAACAATTAATAATGAAATAGAATGATTGGAAATTTGATGAGGCAAAGATCAACTGTTGGTTTTCTTTGGTTTCTCAATAAACGTTATTTGAAAAAAAATTTCAGAAACCTCAATCTCTGAGATATTCAGGCAACATAGGAAGCTTAGTACACAATATAAGCCTCAGCAGCAATAGACTGTTCATGCGCCTTTCAGAACTATTGCTGACTATCTTTAAAAGTCAACAAAATATGAAAAGCCTTTAGGGAATTTTGAAAATTGAAGAGTAAAGAAATATACCAAGGAGTATCTTTTATTAACAATTCAAATGAATTGTCATAAAATGAAAGTCATAGTATCTAGACCGATTCTGATCTTCCATGGCATGACCTGAAAATATCCCGCTTCTTAGAGATGTTCACTGGTGATAACGGTTTGGAGAGAATGGGAAGCTAAAAGACTATCACGCCAAAGCTTAAGCACATTTAAAGTGAAGCAACACAACTAGTTACAAAATCAAAATGCATTTATTTGGTTAACCATTTCTGTCTGTTATTGCCTGCTAAGATACATCTTCCACTTTGAGAATGAAGGCACATTTTTATAGATATTGTCAAGAATTTTTTAATTACAAATAAAAAATTAAAAGTACGCTATTTACCTATTCCAATGAAAACAGCTTTGTAGCCATCTTCTTTCAAAGTTTGAAGAGTCATTTCATTTACAGAAAGGCTTTTACCACAAACTACCTGCAAGAAATAGTATTTTAAATAATAAATATCTTGCATTTGATTAACTGAAACCTTAATATTTATCAAAAAGAATGAAAATTAGTCTAAAACTCCATGTTTCTATAAGATTCCACTTATAATATGTAGAAATATTTTTTACTTTTAGTATACACACCTATGAATATTCAAGATACAGACACAAAGACACATACACACACATACACACATCAATGTTTTATTTAATGGCTAAATACAGCAGAAAAGCCAAATCAATTAAAATTAAGTCAATAAATTTCATGGCCTTGTGAGGCACTTTAAACAATAAAATGGTAAATGAGGTACCATTCCTATTTCAGTGTACTGAAGAAGTGGAAGATCAATTGAAATACATATAGAAGTATATAACCACTACATATATATGGAACTTAAGACTGATGCCAGCTAAAGTCCTAAGGATGAGACTACAGAAGAAAGTGGGATTTCAATAGGGCCTTTAAAAAGAACAGATAGGATTTTGATAGGGGACATTGTCCAGAGAAGACGAACAAAGTTAGGGGGCAGAGGAGAGTCACCTCTATTAAAAGTCACAATACTTTTCTCAGTTCCCAGACAGGAGTTGATTTCCGAACCAGAATCTGTGGAATGAAGAGGTGACCGGGTTCCTAAAGAAGCAACCCTGCATCATCCTGGCAAGTAAATACTATAATAATCCCTCTTGTCCCCAAAAGGAACTACAGTGATTTACCAGGAAACTGTGCACTGGGCAAAAAGAAATAATCAGACATTTCAAATATGGTTGGAATGGGTTCTTCACTGACACTGTACCTAAAGACACAAGAGTGAGGAATAAAAAAGAAAATGCAAAAAAAAAAAAGCCTGATTGAAATCTGGCTCACAGTGGACCCACTGAGACCACAGATCTAGCCAGTGATCATTCTTCTAGTTCATAAATAAAATTTTTTTTTGCATTTGTCAGTTGAAATAACCCCCATATTGGGTCTTTGGTCTGTGAAGGAAGAGCTGTAATAGGTCTTTGGTCTGTGAAGTAAGAGCTGTAATAGGTAAAATAGTTGGGAAGACCACCTGAAAACATGTGGAAATCTGGCCAAGAGAGTAAATAAAGCACAACGTGATATTGTGTATTTGTGTGGGGTGGAAAACATAGTAGTGATCTTTGCCATATCTCCTTTTAATTCAGCAGTGTGACTCTGGTTAAGACCAGCAGATTCATGGAGGATGGATCATAAACCACTGAATGATCAACTCAAGAATATCCCTGATTTCAGTTTAAATGACAGATGTGATATTATTGCTACAGCAGATTAATAAGATCATGGATTCACTGTGTGAGACCACTGCTTTAGAAAAAAGAATAGTTTTTACATTTCAATTAAAACAATTCATCAGAAACAGATCACAGTCACAGAGCATAGATAACAATATCCACATACAGTTCTACCTCTGGGATAGGTCAACTTCAGAAACACTGTATTTATTTTAAAGTGGCCTGGACTTTCCATACAATGCCACAATGATCCACTGTATTGATAACATCATGAAAATTGAGCAGCAAAAGCAGGAGCAAAGTGAAAACTTTGTTAAGATACATGCAAATCAGAGGGTAGAAGATAAACCCTATGATCAGGGACTAGTCATCTGAATAAAGTTGAGAGGTCCAGTCATTAGGTATGTGCAAGTATATCCCCTATAAAAGTACAAGACAAGTAAGTCAATCCTGCATTTTCTGCTATAAAGATGGGAAGCACACTGGAAAAAAATTTGAATTCTGAAGGCAAAATTCATAAGCTGGATCACAGAGGAATAACAACTTATCAAGTAACAATAATAAATGCAGCTGACCCATACAGAACACTTAACTAAGTGCAAAGGTGTTCTGCATAAACTGACCCATTCAATAGTCACAACAGCACTATGGAGTCTTAGCAGTGCCTTCATTTTACAGATGATGATGCTAAAGGACAAAAGAGCTTAGGTAATCTTTATTGAAAGCATATGTGTACTCTAATTTCGGAGTCCACCTGCATAACAACTATGCATGAAGGGCTGAGCTGTCACCATTCTCACGGGCAAAAAACCAGCACATTGTATGAGGACCTCTACTTAAAATGTAGTGTTTTCAGAATATAAAGTGCAAGGCAAGGAAAGGAACACAAGTAAGGGAAAGATGACTGTGACAGATCAGAAGGGGCCAACTTTTACCTTACTAAATACTAATCGTGTTTTCATATTTGTAGATAGGGTAACTATTTGAATGTTTATAAAGAATACCTATGTTGTGATTAATACCTAGTATTTAGAACTCTGGAACACATCAAATACCATGGAATAAACTGGAACATAAATGAAATATGTACTATTAAAAATGTTTAATAGTGAGTATCTAATAGGGTCACTACAGAATTAGTGGAATTAAATGCCATTAAAATTATCTAATAACAAGGCTTTACAATTTTCATTAATTCAGACTTTAAAGGATGGATCATTTCTTAGAAAGATGGAAAATTTCATATTTATTTTATGATCTAAATAATCTTAATACCAATATTAATTAAGGTTATATATGAAAGAAAATGACAGGTACAAATATTTTAAGACAAAGTATACAAAGTCAGCTTGAAAAAACAAATCCTGGTGATCTGCCATACAGTAGGGTGATCACACCTACCAATAATGGATTATGTATTTCAAAATAGCTCCAAGAAGGATTTTTTGTTTTCTGTAATTATACAAACCTGGTAATTACACTGTATACATGGATCAAGACACCACATTACACACCACACATGTGTACAATTATTAAATGTAAATTTAAAACATTAAAAAGAAATATTAGCAAATTGCAAAAAATGCAATTTCCAAAGCTGAAAAGTAGAAAGCCCTGACAATAGGTGGAGGTGTTCCTCAGAATAATTTTAATATTAGGGATAAGGTATCTATTGCCTCAACAGTGATTCAGGAAAGATCTCCTGTCCTTACTGAGATGGGGTGAGAGTGTGTTTATGTATATGTGTGCACACACATGCAATAGTTTAGTTAGTAATGCCTCATGTGATTATCAAAAGGGACTGACGATATAACAGTTCTTCCACCATATAAAGTGAACAAGCCTTGAGTTAATGACATCCAGGAAGGATGCACAGAGACTTTATATTTCTGTAGTCTGTAGGCAATGGTGTGTAATTAGGAAAGGGAAGCATTGGTATTTTTCTTTGGTATATACAAATCTTGTATCTTGAACCTTGGTGTTAGTTTGCTAAGATATCAGTAAGCTTCTGACTTTCCTGAGGATAGACACTGAAAAAGACAGATGCTAATCATCACCAGGCAGCAGCTCCATGATGGAAAGGGGACCAGAGCAATAACAACAGGATTCAAAGGAGTGACAGGCACCAAGAGGCTTCCTTCTCTAAAGCCTCAACTCCAAACACTTGACTTGAAATAAAAACCTACTCTCAGAAAGAACCATGCACTAGGAGAAAGATTTTTGACAAAAAATATTTAAACTTTCTTTTTTTTTTTTTTAATTTTTTGACAGGCAGAGTGGACAGTGAGAGAGAGAGAGAGACAGAGAGAAAGGTCTTCCTTTTGCCTTTGGTTCACTCTCCAATGGCCGCCGCGGCCGGCGCGCTGCGGCCGGCGCACCGCGCTGATCCGATGGCAGGAGCCAGGAGCCAGGTGCTTTTCCTGGTCTCCCATGGGGTGCAGGGCCCAAGCACCTGGGCCATCCTCCACTGCACTCCCTGGCCACAGCAGAGAGCTGGCCTGGAAGAGGGGCAACCGGGACAGAATCCGGCGCCCCAACCGGGACTAGAACCCGGTGTGCCGGCACCGCTAGGCGGAGGATTAGCCTAGTGAGCCGCGGCGCCGGCCTAAACTTTCTTTATATGATGCTTTGGGAAACCGAACTGAGATTTGTTCAAAAAAATACTAAAATTAATATGATAGTAACAGACAACAAAAACATTACTGTAGCTGATAATTTATGAAATGTTAGCATTTGTTAATATGATGTTAGATAGACATAGAAAAAATGAACATGCTCCACATTTTTGATAAGCTCTAAGATAGAAAATAAAAGATTTTTAATACAATATTTAGCTATAGACAAAAATTAGGTTTCTAGCTAATGCACATTTTTCCCCTTCTAGCAGAGATGTATAATCTTATATTTGTTTTCCAATATTTTCCCATAACAGTGGAAATTCTTGATTCAAATTAGCATTGTATAAAACAAACTTGTATAGAGATATTACTAGGGAACTTACTAAGATATTTTGTCTCAAATCACAAAGCAGGAATGCATAGTAATCAAAAATTAATCTTAGGCAAAGTTGAATTCTATCAAAATATTTTGGGAATGGCAAATTTACATATTTTAAGCATGTAATAGAAAAATGAAAGATCTTTACGCAGACTTCACACTTGAAAACTTGAAAAATTAAGACATATAAAAAAATAAAAAAATTCATGTCCACCTAAATTCTGAATTGCAAATCAAGAAAGCAGATTTCATTTAAATGATTAGTAACTTGTCTGACACAATTATAATGGGAGGTTCTTTTGAAGTCCACATTACATGAAAAAAATTGCAGGGCTCTGTACTGGAATTTTTACCACAAAATTAAAGGTTTTTATAAAAATATAATAATTAAGCCTGTCTCTCATAAAGAATAATTTTATTGCACTAGAAATGATCATTTCAAATGAAAACAATTGAGAACATACTGAGTTAACTTAAAATAGTATATCCTACCAATTAGTGAAAAAGAAAAATGCAAGGGCCAGCATCGTGGTGAAGCAGGGTAAGCCATCCCATATGAGTGCACGTTTAAGTTCTAGCTGCTCTGTTTCCATTCCAGCTCCCTACTAATGTACCTGGGAAAACAGCAGAAGATGCTCAAGTGCCTGGGCCCCTGTCACCCATGTGGTAGATGCAGATGGAATTCCAGGCTCCTAGCCTTGGTCTGACCCAGGGCAACCACTGTGGCCATTTAAGG